CAAACCCCACTGGTACTAAAGCCTAGAAGTAGAAGGGAAGTAAAAAAGAAAAAAGAAATTAGAGCAAAGTAGGAAGAAAATGAATTAAAAATTATGTTCCACATGGAGAGAAGAGGACTTTTTTGGGGGGGGTGGTGAGGATTAGTAATGACTGTGATAAAAAGAGAGCAGCCATACCTGTTAGACCTGTATAGCCATCTAGGGGTGTTCACTACAGAGGTGAGTAATTCCACATGGTCTCTGAGATTAAAGTAGAAATGTTGAAAGCTGACTGACCTGAAGTGTAAAGCCTCTGGGACCACTCACAGGGAGTGCAGGTGAGGTTCTGTTCTCTTCAGTCATTTAGTCAAGTCTTTATTGGGCTTTAGAGGTTTGTAGATACTGTTGGGCTCAACAATATTTGTGCACAACACACTCAACAAAGTGTGCAAATGAATGAATGGTGCCATCTTTGTACTCATTTATTCGCTAATTTATTGAATGCTTATTTTGTTCTAGACACAGAGTATTGTAGGTGCTAAGAAAACAGTGGTAAACGATACAGAACCTACTCTCATGGAGTGTAGATTTTAGTGAGACATTACAACAAATAAACACATACATATATAATCACAAACCGGGTTGGTTACATGAAGAAAAATAACAGCTGCTGTGATATGACCATGGGGTTTGGATCGATTTCGATTGTGAGCTCTGGGAGGACTTTAAGTCTAAGAACTGAAGGATGAGTTGGAGCAAAGCAGGTCAGAACTGGATCATGGTAGAGGTGGGGTTGGGAGCATCACAAGTGGGGAAGACAGACTTCGTGAAGCTTCTCAAATTGGGAGTTGGAAGACTGGAGTGGGTTGGTATCCTCAGGATCTAAAACAAGACTGGTGTGGCCACAGTGCAGAAAAGGAGGAATGTAGCTGTATAAGATGAAGTGGAGAAGATGGCGGTGTTTCCCAGATGTTCCGGTACAAATTCCAAAATCTTCAAGTTTCATTACTTTTAATTAGGGGAAAAAATAGAGATTGATTTGTGGCTTAGAACAACTGAAAAAGAATGTTGGTGAGTTGGGATATAATTGGTTTATCTATACCATAGGGAAGTTCATGTTGTGGAATGAATGTGGTTTTAGTGTTGGAACTGAGTTTGTCCGTCCCAGGTCTGCTTAACAGAGTGTGGCCTTGGGTAAATTACTAAGCCTCTGGTTCTTCATCTGTAAAGTAGAGATCGCAATACCCTTTTATTGTGAGTGTGAAATTAAATAGTATATGTAAAGTACTTAGGAAAGGGCCTTGTTCATACTAAGTGGTCAGTATACTGTACTTGCCTGTTACTGCTACTCCCTCTTCAAGGTAGAAGGACAATGACCAGATTGTCCATAAAATGTGAGCTGAATGAACCTGATGGACAGGCCATAAAGCATGCACAAACTAGCATACATATAGTGACTTTAGACTATTTTATATGAGTGGTCCTCAGAATGGTTGGGAGTCTTTTGGTCTGTCCCAGTGAGAGCTAAAAAAGAAGAAATCTTTTGATAACAAAGGTAAATCAACTGAGCTATATATACAGTGTATTTTTCAGACCAGAAGATGCATCTAGGTTTTAGAGGAGGAAAATAGGAAAAAAATTTTTGAAGCAAAAAATGTGGTAAAATATTTAATAACATAAATAACATAATATTTCACCAGTGTAATCGACTATTTCAACAGCAGCATTAACAACCATTATTTCTCAAATTTGGGGGTGGGGAGGAGTCTTATAGTCCAAAAATAAGGTACTTTTGAAAAACTGATTTTTGCATTTCAAAGACAGACAGCATTGTAAGGCCAAATTCACTGTGAAAAGCCATAAGATTATAGAACACTTTATACCCTTTTCATAGTATCATGCAATTATAGTAAAATAAAGACTTTGGAGTAAACATTCCTTGAGAATGCTAACATAAGATCTTAAAAATGTAGGGTTTCCTTTATTTCACATATAATTCTCTAGTTAAATTTAGTGCAAGCAAAGAAATCATTTGGGATAAACTGTCATATAGGTTCCTTTGGTTCACTGTGTTATTAGTATGGACATATAGTAAGAACCCTACCCCAATGCATAGAATGGAATCCGAAAGCTTCAGTCATATTATTGGAGGACAATGAAGTAACTCCTAACTAGCCACTTGGGGGTTCCGACTGTGTGGAAACCAATCACCAGTTGTGTTTTATCCCAGTTCAAGTTATCATTGGGTATATTTGAATGCTGATGACATGTCAGAATTTTGAAAATGATAGTGAAAATTTTGTTTTTGGAAAGAGAAAAATTACTTGGAAAAAATTTGGTCTTTAGTTATTAGTTTTGTAGAAAAATGTATGTCATAGCTGAACTTTTATGACTATGACCCATAAGAAGAGATACATTTTACTTTGTGAACACTACCTATATACAAATAGGAAACTAAAACAAAAGTTTTATGAAACAATATGCATCCCAATATTTTCTGTCATAGTCTATTTCAGTTTTAAGGGAAATGCTGTGTAATTCACTAAGCTAATTTTGTGACCCGATGTGTCACAACTTCTGTAAAATATTGCATCAAATGACTGTATATTAAGTGGCACTTCAGAACGGAACTCCAGTTTATTCCAGAAGCATAAGATCAGCACAATTTCACCAGAAGTATATGCCACACAATTAGTAATTGATGATTAATAGGTGCCAACCCCACATCTCTTGGCTGCCTGGGATGGTCTTTAAAGAAAGAAAGAGGGAGGGTAGGAAGAAAGGATGGTAGGAAGGTATTTGCATATGCATAAACTCTCACCAAAAGAACACCTAAGAAGTTAATAACACGAGTTGTTTGGGGGACAGAGAATTGGGTATCTGTGGGCAGCTGTGGGGATAAAACACTTTGAGTACAGTGTTTTCTTTCATTTTTCCTTCTTTTAAATTTGAATCGTGAATATACATATATTCTAAATCAATAAATTCTGCTTCCCCATTGTTAGAGAAAGAAAGGGCAGAAGGGACTCCAGTATGGATCAGAGTTTGTCACTAAAGGTTGCGGTGGTAGATAGGACTTACGGCCAGTATGCTGTGTTTGCTGCCCTCGATCCAGACTGGCTGTGTTGACAGTACTTTAAAAAAATGTTTAAGTGACTCATTAAGAAGGATTAATTTGTGTCCCATGCTGGACCTCTTATAGGGGGATATAGACTTTATTTTAGAAAAATTTTTTTTTCAATAGAACATGGTTAAATATTTCAGTGCTTAAAGTAGAAGTTTTCTGTTCTGCATTTTTAACTTGTTATTTAGAAATAATTTCAAACTTATGGCAAACTTGTAAAAAGGAAAAATACAAATAATACCTGCTTTCAGGCTTGCTTTTTGTTAACATTTTACTTCATTTGCTTTATTGTTTTACTTATCACTTATCTACATATTTATTGGATTTATTTTTTTCTGAACCACTTGAGAGAAACTTACAAATAACATGGCCCTTTATTCCTCACTACTTCAAATTATATTTTCTGCAATTAGAGACAGTCTCTTACTTAACGATAGCATAGTTGTTAGCTCTAGTAAATTTAATGCCAATATCATACTTTCTTCCAGTCTGCCTGTTTTCCATTTTCGTCCATTGACCCAGGAATCTCCTTTGTAGTGTTTTTACCTCCTCCTGTGGCACAGGATCTAGATTAGGGCTAGGTATCATTATATTCAGTTGTGTCTCTTTAGCCTCCTTCGATCAGGAACATTCCCACATCCCTTATTTCTTGTTTACAACATTGAGATTTAAAAAATAAAATGCTTATTATTATGTTTCTTCATGGTAAGATTCAGGTTATGCATTCTTGTCCAGAATACTACACAACTGATACATCACCCTGAGAATATCTCATTCTTAGACCAGAAAGTCCATCTGCCTGCCCTCACAGTTATGTTAGAGTACTTGGTCAATGTGTTGTCTAGTTTCTACTGTATAAGTATTTTTTCTTTGCAACCAATAAGCAGTCCACACAGGAAGACGTTTAGAGCTCTGCAAAATTTCCTTTTCCTCGCCAAAATTTTTGCCTAGATTTAGCACCCATTGATTGTCATTGCCTAGTCCAGTCTTCACTGCGTTGGCTGCAAAAAGCTGATTTTTCCGACACAGTACTACCTTCGCATTGAGCAGTTTGCACTCAGCACTCTTCTGTAAGCAGTTGGCCTCCTTTCCCCTGAACTCTTGTATTTGTTGTTGTTATGAACTCATAAATTTCTCTGTCTTTCCCACTGTGGTTCATAATTTTTACTATGTGAAGTAGATGATTTGATTTGGGGTTTAGTGGATGACTTCAGGAGTTCAGTAACCACTCTGAGAATATGTGCCAATTTCTGTCTTGTTTGACCATCTTTCTGGGGAGAGTGTCTATAACTTTCTTTTTTTTTTTAAAGATTTTATTTATTTATCTTTAGACAGGGGGGAAGAGAGGGAGAGAAATGTCAATGTGTGGTTGCCACTCACATGTTCCCTGCTGGGGACCCAGCCTGCAACTCAGGCATGTGCTCTGACTGAGAATCGAACTGGTGACTCTTTGGTTCACAGGCCAGTGCCCAATCAATCCACTGATCCACACCAGCCAGGGCTTAACTTTCAGCATAATCTATAGAGTTCTTGATGCAAACAAGATTAAGTTCCACTAGGTGGAGGGACTAAACATTTAGCTATCTGGAACTTATTTATTTGTATATTCTTATAGTCCACTGCTTTCTACCCCAAGTAGTAAATAACTAAAGTGTTAGAGCCATGGCGTGTGTTCCTCTGTAGATACATTCCTTTCTTTTTTTGTCTACTGTTTTAAGCCACAATTGAAAATAGTATTATATTTTAGTTTATTTAATTTTTTTGCTGGACTATATAATGTTAATACCTTCATTTTCATTGTAGCAGCAATTTATGATGTAATAGGACCAGTCTTTTGAAGCAACAAATGACCTTGATTTACTTTGAAATTTTAAAATGGATGTTTTTTACACTGTAGTTTTATTAGCTCTCTGGGAGTGAGCTACATGATGTTGTGCACTGAAAATTACCCAAATGTTCTGGCCTTCTCTTTCCTGGATGAGCTTCAGAAGGAGTTCATTACTACTTATAACATGATGAAGACAAACACTGCTGTCAGACCGTACTGTTTCATTGAATTTGGTAAGGGCCTGATTTTTTTCCTTTTCATTATCCTGGCTCCAGCCAGTTATAAGCTATTTTTTATCTACCGTTGGTGGGAGGGAGGGGACAAGGGAATACTCAGAAAATTCTGCTACCTTGATTTTGATAGACTAATTTGACAAGTGGTCTATAAATTGTAGCAGTGTCTTCATTTAGGTGCATATTAGAAAAAATTGTGTTTGAGCCTTGGAGGGGATTGTCATTTTTGACACAAAGAATTAATCCCAGGGGATAGTTTCTCAGTGAGATAAGCCAGAGATTCAGAATTTTGTGTTTATGTGATGATCTTTTATAGTCTGCTTAGTGTAGGAAGTGGTTGGCAAACACTTGCTGGAAAGGACCACATAGTACATATTTTAGGCTTTAAGCACCATATGTTCTCTGCCACAGCTATTGAGCCCCCATTATAGCTGGAAAGCAGCCATAGACAATACAGAAATGACTGATTATAGTTATAATCTAATAAAACTTTACTTACAGAAAACAGTCAGCAGACTATAAACAGTGAAAATAAAATTGGAAGATTATTTAGGAAATATCTTACAAGATATTTAGGAAATACCTTTAACTTCATTAAATTTACTTTTTAAATATACATTCTAATGGTATAAGCAATCGATAAGAAAATAGGTTTATAGGAACATGCAGTTTACAGTGTATGTTCTTGTGTAATTACAACTGGTAAATACACTATTTTATGAGATATGAATCCCTATAAAAAATAAGATTTTGGTTTAAAGATTAAAGCTGTTATTGTTTTGTTGTAGAAGTTCGAAGTAAGTCCTTGAAGGGGTATAGTAGTAGAAATATTCTCACAGTCACATAATGTTAAATCATTATATACTTGCAGTGATTAATTTCTACAGTATAACTTCAGTATATGGTAACTATTAAACATAAATAATATGAGAGCACTCCATGACAATTGAACAGTTTGGAATAACAAACACTTTATCTATAAAATTTACTATCTGTAAACCTTACACTCTCAAATTATCTAATTAATAAATGACTGCAAGGAAATTTATTTTTTATTTTACATAGATAACTTCATTCAGAGGACCAAGCAGCGATATAATAATCCCAGGTCTCTTTCAACAAAGATAAATCTGTCTGACATGCAGACGGAAATCAAGCTGAGACCCCCTTACCAAGTTTCCATGTGTGAACTGGGGTCGGCCAATGGAGTTACATCTGCATTTTCTGTTGACTGTAAAGGTGCTGGTAAGATTTCTTCTGGTGAGTTCTGGATCTCAGTTATTTGATTTTAAAAATTTGTGTAAGAATTGAGGAACTCTTGAAAACGAATTACTTTAGTATTTTAAAGCAAGTAAATACATGAGAAAATGTAGAAGTTCAAAGTAAACCTTTCTCTCAGTAGTTTATGTAGTAATCTATGAGACATATGACTAAGTGGAAAAATACTTTAAAATAGCAATCTCAGAGGAACTGTTTGGTGGGTGAACATTTAAGAACATTTCTTTATAAATACCTGTTTCTGGAAATGCATACTACTTTATTTGTAGTATGTGTTTATGGGCATATGAAGTGCTTTGCATTACATCAGAATGGCTGGCTATCTCCAAGGCCCGGGTGTTTGACTGTCACAGAAAATGTGCTCATCTACTAACGCCTCCCTCCCAAACAAGGGATATAGTCGTGACACTTTGTAAACTTCTGCTTACAAATGGAATCCCCATTATTTTATAAGGTAGCACATGCCATAGTTGAATTGCTTGTTTGAAAAATTCTTCCTTATATTTGAGCTAAAGTCTGTTGTCTGTAATGTTTATCTGTTTGTCCACATTCTGTGACCTCTGCCTCCTTCTCTTCAGAACTTTGAAGTCAGCAACTCTGTGTCCTTTCAATCCTATTAGTGTGGTCAGCTGCATATAAAACATCTTCAGTTCCTTTAGCTGCCAGTTTATGACATGTTGAAACCCTGCCTATCCTGGAAGCTTTGTGTATCTTTTATTTGTTAGTATTCTTCAAAGGTGGCATTCAAGACTGAGCACAACATTTCATATTTGGTTTAATATAAAATATGGGAGAAAAGAGGAAACAGATTTTACTAAAATAATGCAGCCAGGTAGGAAACAAGTAAACAAGGAAATAACAATAACGAGCCCTGGAGGAGAGGAAATGATTGAGTACCTAGAGTTTTCACAGTGTTATCGAAAATGTCCAGTTTCCAACAAAAACAATTACAGGACATGCAGAGGAAAAGTATAATACTTACGAGAGCAGGAAAAGCAGGCACCAGAAGCTGCCAATGACAGTGATCAGATGTCAGATTTAAGAAAGACTTTATAGTAGCCATTTTAATTATTTTCCTAGAGCTAAAGGAAACCATATTTAAAAATTAAGGAAAGTATGACAATGAGATTACATTGAATGGAAGACATAAACAAAGAGATAGAAAATATAAAGAAGAATCAAATGGAAATTCTGGAATTGAGAAATACAACTGAAATGAAAAATTCACTAGTGGGGCTCAGTAGAAGATTTGAACTGGCAAAAGAAAGAGTTAGCAAACTTGAAGATAGATCAGTAGAGGTTATGCAACCCAAAAAACAGAGAATAAAAACAGAACCTCAGAAAAATATGTGACACTATTAAGCATACTAACATGTGCATGACGGGAGAACCAGAAGAAGAGAAAGAAGCACAAGTATTTGAAGAAATAATGGCTAAAAAGTTCCCAAATTTACTCAAAACATTAACCTACTTCTCTAGGAAGCTGATTTAACCGCAAATATATGCAAGAGACCTACAAATAGATGAATCATACAAAAATTCTGAAAGGTGAAAACAAGGAGAAAATCTTGAAAGCATCAAACAACTCACCACATACAAGAAAACTCCCCAAAGAGTAACAAGTGACTTCTCCACAGAAACAATGGTAGACCTAAAGGTAGTGGGAAAATATGTTCAAAATACTCAAAGGGGGAGAAAACCTGTCAACCAAGAATGCTGTATCTTTCAAAACTCGATGTGAAATAAAGACATTTGCAGATAAGCAGGGGATGAGAGAATTTGTTGCTGGCAGATTCACTTATAGGAGATACTAGAGGAGGTTCTTCAGGCTGAAAGCAAGTGATCCAGACTATAATTTGAATCCACACCAAAAAAAAAGGAAAAAAAAAATCAAAGAGCAATCGTAAAGGTAATTGTAAAAGATAGTAAAAGTACATTTTTCTTTTAAAAAGCAATGTGTAAGACTATGTATTGTGTTGTTGGGTCTATAACATATAGAAATGAAATATATTTTCTAATAATAGCACAAAGGAGGTGGGTGGGAGGAAAGCTGCATAGGGTGAAGGAAATATTCCAGGCGGTAATTTGAATTCACAGGAACAAATAAAGCCAGAAATGAAAATAATGTTAACAAATTAATGAAAACATAATTGTTTTACTTTTAAACTCTTTAAAAGACAGAATTGTGTAAAGTAATAATTATGATAATGTATTTTGGGGTTGTGACATTTATAAGTGTGATTTCTGTAACAACAGTGCCACAAAAGGGAGATCAGGGCAGTGCAGCCACGGAGGAGTCATGTTTCTACAGCTCACTGGGATGAGTTAGTGTAAATCTAAGCTGTTCCTCATAAGATGTGTTCAGTGAGGTCTACAGTAGCTGCCAAGCAAATAACTCAAAATGTGGTGAAAAACAATGAAAGAAATGAAAAGGCTGAAGTATAAAATCTTCACTTAATTCAATGATAAGAAAGGAGGAATAGAGCAAAAAGGGGCATGTGACATATAAAAATAAACAAAATAGCAGATGTAAATCCACCATACAATAATATATATGAACAGATTTATGAAATATGCATGGATGAATCATTCCAATCAAAAGTCAGATCGTAAGAGTGGATTAAAACAAAACTCAAAGATACAATTAGATCAAAAGCAAAAGGAAGAAAAAGATACAGTATAACATAAACAGCACCTAAAAGAGAACTAGAGCTATTGTGATAACAGGCAAGATGAACTTAAAGACAAAAATTGCTACTAGAGACAAAGAAGGACATTTCATGATGATAAAAGTGTCAGTCCATTGCGGTATAACAGTTGTAAGCACATACACGTTTAAGAACAGACCTCAAAATACATGAAGCAAAACCTGTCAAAATGAAGGGAGAAATGGATGATTACAGAGTAATAGTTAAAGTCAGATACCCTAAATAACGAATAGGTATAGGCAGAAGATAAACAAGAAAATAGGAGATTTGAACCACAGCATAAACTAACAAAACAGTATTACACTCCATCCAACAATAAAAAATACATTCTTCTGCAGTGTACATAGAAAATTCCGGAATAAATCTCATGCGAAGCTATAAAAAAAAAAAACTACATAAATTTAACAGGATAGACATTATACAAAGTAAGTTTTGTAACAACAATGGGATGAAATTAGAAATTAATAAAAATTTGGTAAACTTGCAAATATGTGTAAATTAAGTAGTACAATTCTAAATAGTGAGTCAGAGAAGAAATCAAAGGGGAATTTACACTTTTAGATAAACAAAGATAAAGATGCAACACATCTAAGCACAGTAGCCATGCTTAGAGGAAAACTTACAGCTACAATATACCTATATTAAAAAATAAGAAGTCTAATAAATAGCCTTCCACCTAAAGATACCTAGGGAACGAAAAACACATTAAACCTAAAACAAAAAGAAGGGACATAATAAAGATTAGAGTAGAAATAAGTGAAAATAAAATATAAAGTAGAAAGGCACTAGAGAAAAATCAATGAAATCAAAAGCTGATTCTTTGCCTATATGGTTCTGGTTTAAGGATAGGCATATAGATCAACAGTATAGAATTGAGAATACAGAAATAAACCTTTGCATTATGGTCAATTTATTTTTAACAAGGACACCAACACAAGAGTGGAAGAATAGTCTTCCAACAAATGATGCTGAGACAAGTAAATATTCATATACGAAAGAATGAAGTTGGACTCCTATTTGCAGGGCATCTACAAACTCACTCAAATGGATCAAGGACCTAAATTTAACAGCTAAAACTATAAAATTCTTAGAAGAAAACAAAGGTATAAATCTTTGTGACTTCGTATTAGGCAAAGTTTTGTTTTTTATTACCAAAAGCACAGTGAAAAATAAAACAGGTGAAAAAAATCACCAAAATTAAAAACCCTTCTGCCCTGGCCAGGTAGCTCAGGTGGTTAGAATGTCATCCTGATAGGCCATGGTTGTATGTTCAGTCCTGGGTCAAGCCACATACAAGAATTAACCAATGAATACATAAATAAGTGGAGCAACAGACTGATGTATTTCTCTCTGTGTCTCTCTCTCCTTTCTATCTCTCTCTCTCTCTCAAATCAATCAATAAAAATATCTTTGTTTTTCAAAAGACACAATTAAGAAATTGAAAAGACAATCCACAGACACAGAAAATATTTGCAAATTATGCATCTTCTAAGGGACATGTATCCAGAATATATAAAACTGAACAATAAAAAGAAAATAACCCAATTTTAAAAGGGAAAAGTATTTGAATAGATACTCTATTCAAAAGTATTGAGCCCTGGCTGGTGTAGCTCAGTAGATTGAGTGCGGGCCTTCAAACCAGACATTCACGGTTTGATTCCCAGTCAGGGCACATGCCTGGGTTGCAGGCCTGTTCCCTGCAGGCCAGTTCACAGCAGGGGACGCAGGAAAGGCAACCATACATTGATGTTTCTCTCCCTCTCTCTTTCCCTTCCCCTCTAAAGATAAATAAATAAAATCTTTTTAAAAAAGTATTGAAAAGTATTTGAAAGTATTCTATAGAGAAAATGTGTAACTGGCTAATTAGCACATGAAAATGTTCTCAGCATTCATAGTCATTAGTGAAATGCAAAAGAAAATCATAGAAAGATACTACTTTACTCCCACTAGGATGGCTATAATAAAAAATACAGGTAATAACAAGTGTTAGTAAGGATGTGGAGAAATTAGAACTCTCATGTGTTGCTAGTGGGGCTGTAAAGTCATGCACCCACTTTGGAAAATAGAACGGAAGTTCCTCAAAAAGGTAAACATAGGGTTATCATATGACCCAGCAATTCTACTCATAAGTACATAACCCAGAGAATTAAAAATGTACGTCTAAACAAAAATGTGTACATGAGTGTTTATAGCATTATTCATAGCCACTGAAAGGTGGAAACACCCAAATGTTTCATCAGCTGGTGAATGAATAAACAAAATGTGGTATGCCAT